TTTAGACCCAATGAGATAATGGGCAAGAGGGTAAGAGGCTGTTGTGTCTGGAGAGAAAAGCATGTTCTTGAATGTCTCAGTGCAGAGGAAACACATTGATTGACGATTTCAAAATGTATTAGGAGGAAGTTCATCATACACATGGGCTGTAAAATCCAGTCAGCTAAATGCATGTTAGCTCATGTTACGTTTGTTAAGGTAGCTCGTGCTTACTTTAGACTTAATGTAGCACTGTTCCTTTAATATTGTGCAGCTGGAACACATTATCGTGAGTTTTTTTTAACAATAGAATAAGGCGCAATTAAAAAGGAAAAATTGTGTATTTCGATGACCATGAAACAGCTTGTGAGTAGAACGGTGTAAACGTAGCTTGTAGTGTTGTAATGTACCTGGAGAAACTTGAGCTGACTCACCAAACATTCAAGCAGTAGCAGTTCACAGCAGGCATTATCTGCTGCCCTGTGTGGGTCTCTCTGTCCAAGTACAAGGGCCCACTTTCAGCCAGCCCACTGTGTGTGGGATGGGAATGTTGGGTCCATGGCTCAGCACAGCCTGCTTCCAGCTTGTTCCCACCCAGCCACCCATGCAGTACCCATCGAGCTCTGCTTTCCTCTCCACATGACAGTTCTGTGGTTAGACTGTGACCGCTGTCTCCTCCTGCGAACCCAGTCTCCAGCTCAATGACAGGATGTGAGCAGCACGGCACCGCCAAGTCGCCGATTGCAGAGCATGTCCACTGTATTTAGAGGCCAGAGGCCAGAGACAGCTGCTTTAGTCGAGGCTTTCTTCAGTGTGTGTGAGTCAGGACAGCAGCAGCAGGAGGATTAGAAAAAAAAAATTTTGCTTAACTGCTGGCAGTTCTGAAATAAAGCCAAACCATAAGGAACTGGTGACACAATGAGATGCTTCTGAAAGAAGAAGAACGTTAAACGTGGAGTACATAGCCTGACTCTCTGCATCCCAGTGATGCAACCTGGTTTTAGTCTCACAAAATGGTGAGTGACTTCACTTGTTTCTCCAGTTTCTTTGCAGAGTTCGATTTCTTTTGTTTTTCTCAAACAGAAATTCATTCCTTTTGGCACAACAATAGAGCTAAACCACAGTGGTGTGGTACTGTGTTTTCTGCAGAACAGTTTTTGTATTCACTTGGTGGTTTTTTACCCAGAATCTGCCAGAGGCATTCAGCTTCACCAAAGAATATTATAAAAAGTTATGGAAACGTATTTTTATCGAGTGATTCTGCAGTTGTGGCGAGCACAGACAGTGAAGTCAGCCGACAATGAAAGCTTGGTGGCACATTAAGCTGCACGTGCGCTCATATTTGTGAGACAAAAATTAGCTAAGAGTTAGAGCTACGTCAGAAAGAATGTAGCATGTAGGGACTAAAGCTTTTAAGTTTCCCCCAACTTTAGGAGGGTGCAGTATGCGTGGACTTATATTTTAATTTAAGAAAAATATATACTAGGAGTCAAAGTGAATTTTGTAGAAAGTTAAGGTCCCCTTATTACATATATGCTAAAAGTGCTAACTGTTCCGTTAGCTTTTTTCAAAAATGAAACATGTCCCTGCCTTATTGCTTCAGATGAATGAGAATCTATTTTCAGTATCTACTTGCTATTGGGTTTTGAACCATTTTTGACTTTAACAACACTTAAAAGAGCTATTTGTAAGCTTTGCTATGGCTACATAGCTAGTGTTAGCATTAACAGCTGTTACCAGTCTAGAAGAAACCTTTTGAATTCAACATTAAACTTCTTCCCTTCACTCACCAAGAGCTTCATTTCCTTTCTACTGAAGTTAGCACGCTAACCAGCTACCCCAGCCTATTTCAGACATGTTGTCACTCTCTGATAGCGACTCACTGTAGCTCTGAAGATGTATTGCTGTGCCGGAACGTATTATAACCTATTGTTTTGTAAAGACAATAAGACAAGCTCTTGTCAAGCAACCATCACCACCACCTGCTCCTGGCAAGAAACCATGTTCAGTGTCGGAGAAAACTTACAGCTTATTCAGCTTGTTAGCATTCAAAATGTTTTTCCACCTGCACCTGGACTATGGTCATTGACAAGTGACTGTTGATTGTCACAGCTCACTACTCCAATGGCCTCATGCTGTGTCCATGTTGTATCAATATTATTGGAATTACGAATATCACAACAATCAAACAAACATGGATGCCTCATGTCAGCCAAAGACTGTTGTTCTGTGTAATTAAACCCAAGTTTAATGACTATAGCGTTAGATTGTCGATGCACAGTATTTTTATCCTTCTCTCCACCAACTCTGTAATTATGTAACCACACTGAGTTCTCAGATAACTCACATGTCGTTAACATGGGAATCTTTCCCACCTCTACCATGATGTGACTTCACTATCAGTCTGTGAAGCTGGTGGTTGTAGAAAACGGTGTTCAAGGCTGAAAAAAACAGAAAAATAATGATGATATCACATTATTTGTCTTAATTTTTCCATTTCCTGTCTAAGAAAAAGAATCAACATACTTGATTATGTTGTAGCACTAGATGTTTTGTAACTTTCATCATCACAAATTTCTGGATGTACTTTATTCTTGTCTCTGTCTTATCATATAGGTAATTTTCTATTATTCTCCCTAAGCTTGATCAGGTTTTACAGTCAGAATACATGAAGGCTACTGAGCTCAGATTAAAAGAATCCAGATGACTCTTGTGTTAAATGCAAAGTCGGCGTGACAAACTAGGAACAGACACAAAACATCACTGGAAAACTGCTGGTGACAGAAACATGCACACAAAGACACACCGACATTTAAATCCCCCTCTACACACATGCAAAGAATAAATACAAGTGCTGCAGTAAATCTGGAAAGCACACCCTGGTGATTTCCTTTACACACACACAAGTCACTGAGTGGTTGTTATTTTACCCGGCATGTGACATGAGGCTGAGACAGAGGTGTCCTTTGTTTGGCTTACCTACAACCGACACGTTCTCCACGGCAACTGAATGGGGAAACCCACAGGGCCGCTCAGGTTTCAGCCCAGACATGAAAAGAAATGTCCACCACAGCAAGAAAATTAGCTGGGATCTTGTCAAAGCTGACCATCTGCTTAGGAAACTCATATTTGTGTAGCACTTACAACCTTAATGCACTCGGGGACTTTTTAATTGTGGTGCCTGCAGCTCCGTGAAAATACCTTCTTTATTTAAAATAAATATAAGGCACAGCTTTAGCTCTAGTTGCTACGTTATGTAAATTATTACAACATAACAACACTGTGTGCAAAACTGAATCATCCAGGATGCTGTGAAAGAAACCCCCCCCCCATGCATGGTTTGCAGTCGGTGGCCTCTCACGGCAGAGATCACTTCCAGCGCAATGGTCCTTAACACGGCACTTAGTGGCGCATGCTAAGTGCTCAGGACTGAATTGCTTGATTGGACAACTCATCTCCATTTGTGTGGTAATCCACTGAAGAGCGCTGTTACGGGCTGCAGGCTCATGTAATGGAATCTGCTGGATCTCTGTCTCCCTGGCTGTGACCCTGTGCTCAATTACAGGGCCAATATAATTTATCTACACCTCTATTGTCATAATTATTGTGATTATATCAGAGCTTGTTTGATGGTATTCTACTGCGTAACGGCACTGAATGTTATGGATGTAGGTTTTTTTCCCTAACGCAGGGTTTTTACTGTCAGTCTTCCTTTGTCCTGGCACAGCATTGGTCTAATTTCTGATCCGCTGTGATGCTCTCTCTGAAAATGGCCCTGGAGGAGCCATGCCAACACTGCAGTTAAAGGACCCCCTCCTCTCTCCCTTTCTGTCCCTCCCTGCATCTTCTTCCTACTCTCTCCCTCTTCTTTTTCTGTCTGTATTATGACTTTCTATCTCTTCACCTATTCATCTGTCTGGGTATCTCTTTAACGAAGTCAATGACTCACTCCCCTAAAAAATCCCCCATCTTTTTTCCTCATCCATCATCAAATAGTTCCCTTGTTGCTCATAATTACGTAACCCGGGGAGCAAGTGAAGCAAATAGTAAAACCAAAATTGCCAACTCCTCCGATGCGCCGTTGTGTCTGATCCTCTCAGAACTCTACAGAATGTATCAGTTGTTTGGTCATTTTAGCATTTCAGCTTGATCACTGCGGCACTGCAAAAGCAGGCCGACATGGGATTGAATGTGTGACATCGAACATGCGTCACACATCCCTCTGGTCTCAATTGCTTTAGTATGAGTTCTCCTGTTTATGTCTATCGATCACCATAACAGCATTTAGTAAAAAGCAGGACACTGCAGCTCAAACCTGCCCTGTGACACTTTCAGGGTGTGTGTGTGTGTTTGTGTTCGTGAGAGAGAGATAGTCTCACTTTGTAACTACCTGCTAATTATACTCCACAGTAAACATAAAATTTGTAACCACACCACTGCAGGATATCATTAACTAAAAGGATTAGAGTGTGGTTCAGGCAGGAGGGCATCCGCGGCTTCTCCCGATTGAAAATGGACTAATCTAAATGGGATACATCAATAAAACGGTGGAATAAAGTTGCGGGCACTTAAAAGCGTCAGCCCCTTTTGCTCAGGCTCAAAGTAGAGAAGAGAGTCACTGGCTGGCAGCCAGCCAATAAATTAGAAGATAAGAAATATTATTCCACTGGCACACCAGCAGCTTGCAGCTATTTAAAACAGGGAGGTTTATTGATAATTGAATTACTTGGAGGAAAAAAAAAGACAAGACAAGAATAGAAAGCTTGGAGGCGGATCAATAAGGAGATATTGTAGTGGATAGTGCTGCGGTGGCAAGCACCGCAGCCAGGAGGATGCGGAGTGTGTGCTCATATGTGTGTATGTTGAATGTTGCTGTGTAATGATGCTGTTACTTTTGATAAAATTAAACTTTTTCCAATGTATTCTCACACTTGACGAGAAAAATAAGATGATAACAGGAAGAGACCATAAGGTTCATGTCCTGCAGCCTGGACGTTTACGTTGCATGTGTTGTGTTTCAGGTGCTGAACTGTAAGAAGTAAGATGGCCTCTGACAGAATGGCGACTCCTCAGAGCAGCTCCAGACAGAGCAGCTCGCTCTCTTCATCTCCAATGAGGTAAGTAGCAGCAGTGTAGTCTGACCACTGTGGATCTTAAGTAGCTGCACCGCACTTTCTTTAATGCGCTTATTCAGGTCTGATCTGAGGTGTACACTCAGAAATCACTAAAGTAACATTTTCCCGCTTGTTTCTTTTGTGCTTTTCTAAGCATCAATAACTTACTTTTAAGTGTGTTTCCATAGAGCTGCTTTATGTGCTTTTTCAATTTGCTATTGAAATCAAAAAGGTTTTTTTTTTACTGAGGTGGAAAAGTTGGTGTATTGAAAAAGAGAGGATGAAATAAAAAGAGCTGAGAAATACAGATTTTTTTGAATACATCTTGACATTGCAGTCGGCATCTTGACATTTTTCACTTCTTTGACTATCATCAAAGTTTTCATGTCATGCTGCTACTCACAGATATTACGTACCTTCACTCCAACCTTCAAGCCCAAAAACTACAAAAAATAAGTTTGTGAGATCAAAACCATGGAGTCCATCTCAGCACAGTGGCTGATAAGAGAATAGGTCGATCAGAAAAGACAAATTCATTTACTCAAAAATTACAAATGCAATCTTAGGTGTGAAGCAACAATGAAATATCCTGAGCAATGCAGTAAGTTGTCACGTACTCTTGAATATATTTGCATAAAGATAATTGCTATGATCCACATTTTATTTTGCTGAAATTTCAAAATACACTCAAACAGGTGTTTTACTGGTTTACTGGAGTTAAATAATGTCACCAAATTTTATTAAGTAATAAAAATGATAAAGGTGTAACTTGTAAGGGGTGCAGACATGGCTTTATAGGGACATTAATAGAAACATAAACCAATGTAGTGGCGCAATGATGCATTTTTTGGGTTTAATCTTTTCTGTATGGAGTTTGCATGTTTTGCTTGTGCTGGCTTCCTAACCACAATCCAATGCCTAAAGAGTTAAATAGCAACTCTAAATTGTGTGAATGTGAGTGTCACTGGTTGTTTGTCTCTATGTGTCAGCCCTGTGATAGACTGGCAACCTGTCCAGGGTGTGTCCATACCACCTGCGATCCTAGATGGATAAGCGATGTAGCTAATGAATGAATAAACCAATGTAAATATATACTACTTATACTAGTCATCTTCGGGCTGCTCGTGTTAATACTAAAGCTATTGGTGAAGAGCTGTAAATATTCTTTTCTGTGGACACACGAACACACACACACATCACATACATGTAAAAGCACACCAAAACAACATACTGATAATAATAACCATGATAGCAAGAAATAACCCTCCTGTTTCATCTGCAGATGGGGCCCCCAAAAATGCAGCCTACTTTGGTGCCTATCTCCTTCTGATAATGTGCTGTAATGGTGGCGGTGGTGTGAGAGATGCTGGTATCATGGCAGCTGTCGTAGGAGCAGAGATTGAGGTTTACTGTGGTGATGGGGTGTAGTTGTGTCATAAGTCATCCTGAGCTGTATGATGATGAATCACAGAGATGTTTGGTAACAGATTAGACTGCTGTGAGGAAAGCAGGTTGTATTTGGTTCTCGGTGGTGCATGAGTCAGGAGATGCAGACAGAAATGCTCTCAAACTCTCTTAGGGACAAATCTACACGGGAAATTCAGGAATAATCATTATTGAATCAGCACATCAAACATCAGATCTTCTTCAGAGTGTGATTTCCTACTCAAGTGCTAAAATGACAAGGAACAAGGCTTTTAGACCATTAATCACTTAAGCACCTCTTCCCCTTGTACAGCTCAATTCACTGACGGAGCAAAGAACTGGATAAAAACCCTTATATTCAATGAAAAAAACCAACTTATCATATGATAATAATACTCTTAAATAGCCAACTCTAAGAAAGTGTAATCCTTGTCACTTTGATGACAGAGAACTCAGGAAGGTCTGTAGGAACTGAAACAGTTTGATGTACTGACTGAATAAAAGTCTTGAACATGAGACTGTCTTGAATGCAGGACTTTCCTTCTTCTTTGAGACACTTGCATAGACAGTTCTTTTCTTACTTAGTTAAAACCTTGGGCGACCAAAGCCGTCTTCTGCTGGAAATGACTCACTTATAGCAGCATTAAGAGAATTCTTGGCCTCTTGGGGGCAGCACAACAAACTATGAAAAGTCTGATATTGTCACCTTCAGACAGAAAACAGTCCTGTGTTGAAACAATGCAAGGTGCTGCGTTGGTGGAGGGCGTGTTGTTTGTAAAGTGTTGGTGAGACAATGAAAGACTAAAAGATGAATGTGGGTAAAGACTTATCAGATGCCTGCTCAGTGGTTTATAATACTGGCAGACTACTTTATCTTTTATTGCAGCAGTAGAAACATGGCATTCACAGTACTGAGTAATCCAGTAGGAACGTTTGCTTGCATGTATTGATTGACCAAAGTAGTGCCTTGCTGGATGACGTCTTGTTGCGTTGCAGCAAAAGTAAAGAGCCCCTTGTGTTGTCACCCCTCGCTGTCCTGACAGACTGACTCCATTCAAAAGGAAAAGGGAATCAGGAAGCTATGTTTAGTCATTCAGGGCTAAAGACACACCGGGCAATATTATTATTTATTTAGACCCTACAAATATAAGTCCAATATCTTGTCTATTAGCATTTTGGTTTGCTAAATGCTAAAGGGAAATATCTGGCTCTTTAGCTGCTAAATGCTCCATTATCATCACTAACTAGTTGGTAACTTTGTGTGTGTGCTGTTTGTTGGTGCTGAACAGGGAGGCTACAGTGGGTTTATCAGATGGGTTCATGAGAGTGGTGAGAGTTTAACAACCTTTAAAGTCGAAAGCCAGAAAATCAAAACAAAACAGAAAGATGTTAAAATGCTCATTAGAGCTGAGGGGGACTGCAGTGACCCCTTCACACATTTCATCCATTTCACCCCATGCTTGATATATTACAATATAATATATTATCTAGTGCAGCTTTAAAATTGACAATACTTTTATCAAATAATTACAAGAACTGAATAAAAATCATCATGGAACTGGACTGAAACTGAGACTGAATGAACTTCAGGTGGTTCATCTGTTGAGAAGGGTTGAGGCAGGTCCTATCGACCGACACGTCAGGAGCTGCTGTGAAAATTCACATCCACACATCCTTCATATCTGCCCTGGGAAATATTTAGTGGCTGATGTTTGATTAGACTTGTTGGTTCAACATCCCCAAACCAATATATCGGCCTTAGTGAAGATCCTAGATCAACAAATTAGAGGCAGTCAATAGCAGGAGGTGTAAAGGTCAAAACCTTAGTGACAATGCAAACAGATCCTCTCACTCCCTCCCACACACACGCACACACACACACACACACACACACACACACACACACACACACACACACACACACACACACACACACACACACACACAATGTGAAAACATCTGTCCACAATTGGATTTTATATTTGAGTTGCATGAAAGCTGGAGATTGTAACCAAAAATGCTGAAAAATCTGTCAGACATGTGTGGAGCCAGCACATTCCAAACAATCAGAAACTGAAGTTAAAACAGAGCAGCGCTGCTTCCACGCTGTCGAGTCACGAACAGTTGACAGGGACCTGCCAGCTAACCTAAACCTGGACTCCAAACAGGCTTCATCACAAACTGGAGGGCCGCTCTTTCAAAAATAACATCAATAACAGTTTGTTTCTTATCACAACTCTTCATTCCTATCATACAGCACTGATTTATATCTTTGTTGTGAAAGTGCCAGATGCTGAACCCCCCCCCCCCCCCTTTTTAATGGGAAAAGCCTCTTCATCAGATGCTGTGGTTGAGAATATTTCAGTCACTGATAATAAATTTGAATATATATCTTCTGACAGTTTTGTGTTTACAAATGCTTACATAGCGTTGCGGAGGATGCACGGTGAATGCCCCTGGATATCACATCATTAGAGCTGTCATGCCATACATTGGCAACCAGACGCACACACTCATAAACAAACCGATCATCTCTTACTTGCTTTCTTTGTCCTCTCTCATACACACACTCAAACATAAATCCTATTTGTGCCGCACATGGCAGTAAATCAGCTGATGAAAGGAGCCAAATGACTGAATTGTATTAAAATAAATAGCAAACACAGATGGAGCGCACACACATGCACTCAGCTGACAAACATCTCCACAACAGAACCAGCTCTTTGCCCAGATGCCCTTGTCCTGACAATTGAGGCTTCAGGTTACAATCTGAAAGTGGTTGGCAAGTCATTACAACATGAGCAGGTTAACCAGGTTTCTGTGGCGTCATTTGTCTATGCATGTGTCTCTTTCTTCATGTTGCAGCTTTTTGCTTGCAACCCATGTAGAAGTGTTGGAAAAGTGTGGGTTTGCTGATGCGAGGGAAAGAGACTGAGAGAAGAGAGCAAAGCAAATGGGAGTGTCAGCTGGATATGGTTTAAGATACAGATAAAGACAGAGTAAATCTACATATGCCTGCAATAGCTGTATATTTATGCCTACGGTGCATGTAACCAGGCATGTGTTAGGGCAGGAGTGTGAGTCAGAGAGAGAACAAATGATGGAGAGAACTAGAGGAACAGACTGAGACAGAGACATAGAACAAGAGAGAAACAAACTTGTGTGTGGTGTGTGCTGTTTTAGGTGAATCTGGTCTTGGCTGCACATTAGAGGCCATCTGAAACATCTGGGAATCAGATGTCTACCCCTGCTGCCAGGATCCAACTGTACCAGTCAGTTGCCACAATATCCCTTTACAATCCGCTACCTAAGGGGGAGCGCAGACTCGGCCTGCGCCTACAAAACCAAGGCTTGCATTATGTAAATTTTCAGTTGAGCTGTAGCCTCCATGTAGAAAAGTGTTATAGGAGAGTTGTGTTTAGCAAAATTCTGGTTTCTGAGCAGAAGAGGAATGCATTAACACCCCGTTTGGTCTTTATGTATGCCTCCATATTTAATTCTTTTTGGGACAAGAGTGTCCTTGTTTCCTCTTTCAGTTGAAGCCAAAGCCACAACGATCTGGTCCTCAACATCTCACA